ACTTTTGCTAAAGAGCCCTACGAAAACAAGGGAGCAAAAACAGATTTAAAATGTAGCATTCTCCGACATCTAAAGATTCAATGATACAATTTATACAGCGCTATTATCATCCTTATGCATACAGGTATTCTTACCCAAATCAAAATAGTATAGAAGTTTAAAAATCAAAACTAATACACTGAACAAATGACCTACCAACAGGCAGATGGAAACAATGGAAGTAAAAACACAGAGTCAATGCTCAATTACCTAGGAATGCTGAATACTGCTTGCCAAAGCAAACACTGTCTGTGACGAAGGTCCCGTCAGTGCCAGAATCTACCCAGGCTTCCCAGGAGCCCCAGTGGACAGTCATCTATGTGTCTGAAAAACCACTAATCATCTGACACCCCTTTACTTCTCCAGACCTCATCCTGCTCCTGCCTTTGCAAGCTCAGTAAAATTATCACATGGATGTAGAAAGGGCAAGTAGGAAAGTGAACGTGTGACTTCTTTTGATATGGTCAGAGCAAAAATCAAATTGGCCATTTCTCTATCCTGCTTCCCTGATAATCTCTAGTCTAGAATCTTATTATTCTTACTCTCTCTTCCCTTAATTCCTCATAAGCATTATATCTCTCTACTGTATAGGATTACTTTATTAGTCATAAAAGTCATTAAAACATCCAATACAATCACTAAAGAAGTTTTGGAATACATGGTGACAGAAAAAGAGACTTCAAATAAAAACTACACAACAAAAATTAAGAACTGAGGAATGAGAATGAGAAAGAAGTCTATGATTTTACCTGATGATTTGAGAGTCCAAACTACAGTCTAGGTTTTACATTAATATAAATAGCTATTTTACTATATTACCTATAATAATTTGATAAAATTTAAATGGGCAAGTCCAACTGAATTAATTATTACTGAGGGAAAAAAAAACAGGAACTAGAAACTAAAAGGAAAATCTTTCGTACTAAATAATTCATGTGATAAATCTTAAACATTTAAAGACAGGTAGAACCTATACAGGCATTCGGAAATTTCCTTCTTCTTTTATTTTTTATTGAAGTATATAGTTGATTTACAATGTTTTGTTAGTTTCTACTCTATAGCAAAGTGATTCAGTTATATAAGATATAACATTATATATATAAAACATGTTATATATATAATACATATATTCTTTTTTATATTCTTTTCTATATGGTTTATTATAGAGTATTGAATATAGTTCCCTGTGCTATACAGTAGGATCTTCTTGTTTATCTATTTTATATATAGGAAATTTCCTAATTCTTAATCCACAGAAAGTAGATTATGTATTAACAGACAGCAATTTTTAATTACTTGGAGGTAGGAGGTCTCTGAGTACTTATTCTTTAGAGGTTATTTGGATAAGAAGATGAACTTGATTTGCCAAACTATCAGTAAATACATAGCCTATTAACTTTTTTCAATTAACTACAGAAAAGGAAAACGTCATAAGTTATTTATTTACACAGGAATAAATGTTGGTGGCCAGGTTTTTGGTTAATGTAAATGTGAAACCCTAGATGTATGAACTGAAAAATGCCATAAACTAAAATAATATCTGTAAAATAATAGACTCACAGAAGGAACCTTAGATATCAAAACTCTTACAAGTTGGGAAATGAGGCCCATGAAATTCATGGTCTTGCCCAAGCTGATACACAGATAATATGGAGATAACTCCTGAGGAAAGTCACTGGCATGAGTTCAATCTATTAAAATTTCTTTCTTTTATTCTCTTCTGAAAAGATAACTTGAGTATTTTTTTCCTGAAATAGTAATTTAAGGGTTTCATCTTTTACAATGTGTAAGAATTTTTAAGGCCTTCATTTTATATAAATATATTTTTATTAAAGATTGTTTAGGATTTCTAAGCATTTAATTTATAAAAATGATTCTATACATACAAGTTATATATTTAAAAGTATCTAGATATAGAGGGCTTAGGCCTTAAGAAATATGAATTCTTTCATTTAATATAATCCATGAACAATTAAAAGACTATTTTACAAATGTTTACCCATGAGCTTCAATTCATAATTTTTCTTTTACCCCTAACCTATGCTTCTATGAAGTTCTAACATCTAAGACCATATCCCTCCCTCAGTTTTTCATATCCAGGGCTACGAAAAGTTCCAAAGGTATAAACTGGGTCAAGAAGGGTCCCAATTAACAGTACTTATCTCCATCAGATCTTTACTTGCTTAGTCCAGAAGCACTGTCAGGGCAGAGGTCTGTCTAGATGTGAAAGGTATTGATACTCTTTGTGCAAGGTGGCTTTTAGCAAATCAGATTTCAGTGATCAGAGCAAAGATATAGCTCATAATTCCATTCACTTCTATTTCCTACAGTATGGCCTCATTTTGAGCCATGGCAGCATTTAGCACTGTTCTCCTTTGAAATTCATCCTTCTTCTGGCTTTTCATTCCGGTGTGCCTCCTCCTACTCTGGCTGTTCAATAATTTTCACAGGCTTCTTTCTAGGCTTGCTCTCTACATTTTCTGCTATCCTCAATCTGTTTGGATGTCTAAAATCCCTCACATACATGTTCTAGAGAAAACTATTTTTTCAAATAGGTTCCTCTCCCTCACATACATGTTCTAGAGAAAGCTATTCCTTCAAATAGGTTCCTTTTCCCATCTTTCATTCAGCCACCCTAGAAGGGGAAATGGGACTCATTCCAATCTCTGCTCTCTCATTCATTCTCCATATCCAAATACAGACTATGGCCTATAGTTTCTACCTGTTAAGTTTCTCTCCAACATATTCCTTTCTTGTCTTTTTTTTTTAAGATTTTTTGATGTGGATCATTTTTAAAGTCTTTATTGAATTTGTTATGATACCACTTCTGTTTCATGTTTTGGTTCTTTGGACACAAGGCATGTGGTATGTTAGCTCCCTGACCAGGGATTGAACCCACATTCCCTGCACTGCAAGGCGAAGCACCAACCAGTGGATGGTCAGAGAAGTTCCCCCTTTCTCTACAATAGCACTATGACTGTGCTAGTTCAGATTTCATCATTCCTCATATTTAAGTATGTTAATGCCTCCTAAAGGATCTAACTTCTGTCACAGCCCACTCCAAGTCACCCTCCAAACTGTTGCCAGACTGATCTTTTTCTCATTTCCTGCAAAGGTTCTCCATTAATTGAGGATGAAAAACCCTCAGTTCTTGGCAGAACACAGAAGACCTGTGATTTTCTGGATCTTCTCCAGCCTTATCTCCTACCACACCCCTACAGGCATCTTATGATTTAACAATATAGCTTGCAATTCTCCAAGTACGTATTTCATCAAAGGAATATACCACATGGGAAATTTCAAGACTGGCAAAAAGAAGGCAGTCATAGCAAATCACTCCTAAAAATACTGTCTATTTAACTCTTCCCCTTCTCCATGGGTCATTTTCTTTCCTTTCTTCACTTCCCACACCGTAAGACTGGTGCTGCTTTATTTGAATGGGAAAGAAAATAAATTAGGGCTAAATGATAAATAAACTTTCAAAATAAGGGTTTGAAAGTTAACCCTAACATAACTAATGAAACATAAACTATGTGAAATCCAAGTACTACAAATTCTGCTATTTTTGAAAACAATAATATCACTAACAATTAAAACTGAATTAGGGAAAATCAAATGATCTTAGAAGTCCTTTATATTTTGTGGTTTTTACCTAATGCAGATAAAGACTATGAAAACATTACTGAGATTACAATGAAACTATGAAAATACTGAAAAAAAAGTCTGCACACAATATTTTTGATTACTGCTTTTTTTAATAAGTATCTGGTATCTTCTATATTTTCTGAGCATAGATCATTTTATAAACTGCTGATGAATGCACAGAATGCAGTTTTCAATTAGAAACGCATGTCCACTATTGTCACTTAAGCTGTGCCTTAAACACATTCTCTAAATCCCTCTGTTTTTAAGTCATTCCAAGACATGTCTTTTAGTTAACATTCAGATTATTATTAATTATTCATTTACTGTCATAAGAACACCTTAAATCCTATTTAAATAAGGTTACCAAAAATCACCTGAAGAGAACCTGTAGGGGACAGCTAAATTTCTATGCCTTCTGGATTTTTCAAGGACTAGAAAACTAAGTTTATCAGTGACCTAAAATTTTAAAATCCATTAATGATTTGTCTTAATGAAAGACTTGGTTAAAATGGTCTCCTATCACTTCACATCAGAGATTTTTATTATGATATTCCATGAAGTTTTCAGAGTCTTTTCTCATGTTCTTTTTCATCTAACCTACACCAGGAAAAAAATAAAAGACTAACTAGAGTAGTGTAAATCAGATTTGTGATACTTAATAAAACACCAATTGGTGAATTCCATCCGTAACCTTTTCAAGATTGGCTTACTCATTAATATTTACACATACACACACAAAATATTTACAGAAAAGTGCTAATCATTAAGGAAGAACTATTCATTTTGGAGTTCAAAGAAAGTTCCTATTTCATTTTTTAAATTCTAAGCATTTTGTTGGCAGTAATAATCTATATGGTGTGCTCATATCCATTAATGTATCAAGAGCTTAGATATTTATAGATTCATAAATGAAAACAATGTGAAGAGAGTAAAATCTAATTCAGCTATGATATTTAAAGAGTTGCTCTTAGCTTTCATAAACTATCTTTTCTTTCCTGAAAATACAAGTTCATAGGTCAAAATAAAATGCAGTATTAAGATGAATTAACAGTGGGGAAAAAGAAAAATGAATTTGAGGGAAATACAGTTGGATATGAGTGAAGGGGCTACTATTTTTCATATTACTTTAAAAATATTGGTTGGGAGTTTCTAATATTTCATTTTAAACAGTGTGACAGAAGGACACATGATAAAATGAAGACAGTTTCTTTTATTTACTAAACTAGTGATTTGATCAATTTCTAATACTTAAATATCTATAAGCAACATTCTTTGTATCTGAGAGAGAAAAAAACACACCATTAAGTGTTACTTACATTCCAAATCGCAATGTTCCAGAAACGTATGTTTGCCAGTGTGCACAATAGAACATGAATGTCCCAGCAAAACAACAAAAAAACATCCAATCAGGGTTTGTCCCCAGTTGCACTGTAATACAAGTTCCAAGAACCACAAAAACTGAAAAAGAAAGATTACAATGAAAACTAAACAATCTGATTAACAAACATTAACTAAGCTGGTAATGATTTTAGATGAGGCAAAAAGAAAACATGCTATGAATGTTTAATCTTTTTTCAGTCATCTACACAAATAGGAAAGCAGGCTACAGTCTTTTATATTAACATTTACTCTGTAACTTCAATCTGTTCTTTCACTATACCACTAGGTGAAAGCAAACTTCTTGAAAGTAACTAAAATTCTTCAGCGTTATTTTGGAGTACATACATATCTCGTTTTATTTCACTTAACAGATGCTGTGCCTCCAGATATTGCATTTTTTTCCCAATTAAAGATTTGTGGTAGCCTTGCATTGCATGTCTATAAGTGCCACTTTCAACAGTTTTAGCTCACTTAGTATCTCTGTGTCACATTTTAGTAATTGTTAAAATACTTCCAATTTTTTTCCATTATTACATTTGTCATGATTTCTGATCAGTAAACTTTGATGTTACTACTGCTAAAAAGATTACAACTTGCTGAAGGCTCAGATAGTAGCATTTTTTTAATCAATAAAGTATTTTTTAATTAAATAGTATACATTTTTCAGACATAATGCTATTGCACAGTTACCAGACTAAAGTACAGTGCAAAAATAATGTTTACATACACTAGGAAATCAAAAAAACTTGTGTGTTTCACTTTATTGCAGTGGTCTGAAACTGAATCCGCAATACATCTGAGGTATGTCTGTACTCCCTCAACTCAATGATAAGAGTACTAATAAGCAGTGAAAAACTACAAGGCAGAAAGTCAAAAAGAAAGAAAAACAAAGGCCTAGATAATTCACTGGCTTCAGATAGCAATCTTTTTTATTTAGCAGATTTCACTATGGGTAATATACATTAAAAACAAAAAAAGGACTGCCTATAAAAGTTTCGAACTCAAACTACAATGCAAAAATGACTATCACTTAGGAAAAAAAACAGAACACCTATCATTCTGCTGTTACCAAATTAAATTATAATAGTTTTTCAAGATGCCCAACTAGCATCTTCAGTAGAAGCTTTTTCTTGAGTCTTAAAAGTTACATGAAATTATCTGTTCCTTCCCCTTTGCTAAGCAAGCTGCTATCAGGATACAACCAAACAATGATTTTAACATACGCTTACATTTGTGAATCTGAGTTCACAAAGTAAAACCATCAAGGGTTTTTGTTTGCCTCTTTAAAAATATTTTAAACACTGTACCAAATGACAAGAAACCAACTGAAGAACTAAAGAAAAAAATAAGTGTGTTGGGAGGAGTATGTGGCAAGGTGGAGAATCAGGGGGAGCAGAGTTCTTGAAAGGGAGACTAGTTAGAAACTGTCATTTAATTTCTAAATCTCTTTTTTCCCTCTAAAGAAGTACTAAATTATTATTCTTTAAATGGTACAAATAAAGACATACCACATATAATCTAATTAGAGTAATTCATCTTTTGCTAGCACATTTTAATGTATTTTTTTCTAGTCTTTTCATCGAAGCCCACTATCACAGTTACAGTCCAAGTCTATAATGAAATTTTAAATGTCTGTATAATATCCATTTAAATAAAAAGACTATCTTATAAAACTGATCAACATTTATCTACCAGTACAAAATTACTAGCTAATATAACCTGGAGTAGAATCAGAATTCAGAAATATCTTTAGAGTTGAAATAATGGCTGAATTTACTAAGTGTTCATATGAGATGTCTAGAACAGGCAAATTCATAGAGACAGTAAGTTAGTGGTTACCAGGGCCTGGGGGCAGTAGGGAATGCAGAGTCACCACTAGCAAATGATTCCCTTTCGGAGTGGAAAGGAAAAAACTGACATCTGACAAAATGTTTTGGAATTAGAGGGCTTCTCTGGTAGCTCAGCTGGTAAAGAATCCACCTGAAATGCAGGCGACCCCGGTTCAATTCCTGGGCCGGGAAGATAGCCTGGAGAAGAGACAGGCTATCCGCTCCAGTATTCTTGGGCTCCCCTGGTAGCTCAGCTGGTAAAGAATCCGCCTGCAATGCGGGAGACCTGGGTTCGACCCCTGGGTTGGGAAGATCCCCCTGGAGAAGGGAACAGCTACCCACTCTGGTATTGTGACCTGGAGAATTCCATGGACTGTATAGTCCATGGGGCTGCAAAGAGTCAAACACAATTAAGCGACTTTCACTTTCACTTTGGAATTAGATAATGGTAACGGTTGCATAATTTTGTGACTACACTAAAAGTCACTAAATTGTACACTTTAAAAGGATGAATTTTATAGTAAGTGAATTATATCTTAATAAAAACTTTAAAAAGGCAAAAACAAAAATACAAAGACTATGAATTTCTTAGTCTCCCATACTGAACTCTCATCTATAATTTATGAGTTTTTTTTCATGATAACAATTATGCCTTAAGAATTTAAAAACAACAGGTGCCAAAACAATAATATTTAGGGTTAAAAATAACTTAGGTAGAAATTAATTCCTAAATATCCTGATATCATCAAATAATGAACAAGTATTAACCAGCTTTATGTTTGACAATATTAAAACTTAATATAAAATCACTTATTCTGATAACTACTATAATATCACAAGCCTCTTATTTATCTTATCATTGTTTTCATATTCCTTTTAACACTGTTAATCATTAACATTAAAAAATCAATAATACCTGTCGATAGTGAATCACACCCATGATCAAAAAGTTCTCCCAAAGGAGAACTACTATTAGTTCTTCTTGCCTGTTTCCCATCAATAGCATCCAAAGACTGGTAAATGAAAAGGCCGCATGCACAAGCAATATACGCCCACAGAGGTGCCTGTGAAATAAAATTTAAAAAACAAGAGTAACAAGACATATTAATTAATATTATGTTTGGCTAATATATTTTTACTTGCAGATATGTTATCTTCATTCTCCAGAGAAGTTAGAAGCTATGGGAGAGGAGATCCAGGTGCTACATAATGAAAAACTTTTCAAAACAATCAGAATTATGAGAATTAAATTCCCTGTTTTGCAGGGATACTCAAGCAGATGCTGGGTAAACTACTTCACAGAGGTAATACAGAAATGCCATGCGAGATTAGATTAGGTAACTTGTGGAAGATTCCTCCTAACATTTAGACTCTAAGAATCAATTAATGAATAGCTAGTAAGGTTTTTCCTAAGTTGTGTTTTTGAAGATGTCTATAGGTATTACACAAAAATAAAATTTCCATGTTAAACTCAGTTGGAAAACACTGGATTAAACAACGTTAAACCAATTTTTCCACCGCAGGACTGCTTCCAGCTCTTAAGATTGCTAACGCATATTGTGCATGTTCAAGGAGGATACAGCATGCTGCCATTTCCCAAATATATTTGAGCGTGTGACTTATTTTTTTCACTGTTTCATGAAGCAACACTAGGGAAATAATGATCTACTTACTAGACAGAGTGCTTACATTACTTTTCAAATACTTATTATGGTCACATTTTCAATTAATAATTTTTCTTTTGTCAGACAGAAACTAAACCACTAATAATGAATTTAAATGTGACACATTAAAAAAAGAGAGCTTCTATTTGGTCTGTTCTCTGTAGGAAAGTAAGAGTTTTTTGCATCATTTTTTCCAATTTTCCTATGCCTAGGCCATGAAAACAATTTTATAACCACAAGATACTTTCTCAGATATTGGTTTTCAAGTTAACTGTACTAAATGCTCAGAGCTGCAAATTAAAACTATCCAGAGCTGCAAAAAATATTCAGTATATTCTGCACTACAAAGAGGTATCTCCCTGAGAGAGATCTATTTGTGTGTGTGTGTGTGTGCTCAGTCATGTCCAACTCTTGCAACCCAATGGACTATAGTTTGCCAGGCTCCTTTGTCCATGGGAATTTCCAGGTAAGAATACTGGAGTGGGTTGCCAGTTCCTTCTTCAGGGGATCTTCCTAACACAGGGATCAAACCCATATCTCCTGCACTGACAGGCAGATTCTTTACCACTGAGCTACCTGGGAAGCCCAGAGACCTATTTAGACTCAGTTATTAAAGGTAAAGATCTTCTCTTAAATGGTTTTTTTTTTTTTTTTTTGGAGTCTCATAATTTTAAAAACGCTGAGGCTGCTAAAAAGATCATCGTATACACCTCTCCCAAGCTCGAGTTACAAACCTGGAAAAGAATACCTGTGATTTTGTAACCAAGTTTACATGGCAGCACACTGGACTAAGTGGTTAATCTTTTTTTTAAAACGTATTTGTTTTTAAAAATTTTATTACTAATTTTTGGTTGTGCTGGGTCTTCACTGCTGTGCACAGCTTGCTCTGGTTGTGGAGAGCAGCTGTGTTGCATGGGCTCGTCACTGCAGTCTTCTATGTCAGAGCACAGGCACCAGGCGCACAGGCCAGCAGCTGCAGCACGCGCACGGAGGAGCCGGGGCTTCCTGGCTCCAGAGTGCATGCTTCAGGAGCTGCTGCATGCAGGCCCAGTGGGTGCAGCCCACGGGCTCTCGAGAATGGGCTCAGCAGCTGTGGCCCATGGGCTTTGTTGCTCCAAGGCATGTGGAATCTTCCCAGACCAGGGATCAAATCCATGTCCCTTGCATGGGCAGGCGGATTCTTATCCACTGCGCCACCAGCAAAGTCCACTAAGTGATTACTCTTATGTGACTAAGAACCTTCCCTTCTAGACTTGGGTTTACTGCTTCTTACTCCTAGTGGAAGCCAGGAATTCTCTAGAGCTGCACTGTCTTATACAATGGCCATTAGCCAGCCATCTGTGACTATTTTAGTTTAAATTCATTAAAATAAACCAAAAATTCAGTCCCTCAGTTGCTAGGTACATTTCAAATGTTCAATAGCCATCAGTATCTACAGCCTCCATATTAGATCACACAGATATAGAACATTATCATCATCACAGAAAATTCTATTGAACACTACTGCTTTAGGGAACTAGAAAAACAAGGAACTTCGTGGGGAGGGGCAGTTTAGGATTTTAAGGGGGAAAGGTGTTACCCTGGAACAGAATCAGATACAACTTAGTGACTAAATAACAACCACCTAGAAAACAGCAAGATGGTAATTACATATATAAGAGAGAGAAGCAAAACCTTATCATCTTTGGACTTTTCTTTTTTCTTATGAATACATAGAACACTTTAATATTTATCTATTTCTTCTTTTTCCCATTATTTCGCAACTCGCAGAGGTATTTTAAGAAGAAAGCCTTCTCATTCAGGAGCAGGTATGGTCTCAGCTGGGTTAAGAGTCTGATACACTGAATGTATAAGTCAGGAAACTATTTCTCCCAGCAGCATTCTGAAATTAGCGTAGTTCCCATTCTGGAAGTTTCCCAAAGAGTTAACTAATGCTAGGGTTACTCTAATAATTCCAAATCACTTAAGAAAAGAGGCTAAGGAAAAGTATTACAGGGAATGTGGTGCCTGGTACAGGCTAGGTGTTCAAAAAATGACTATTCATGGCCAAGCTAATCTTGAACTTGCTCTCATTCCCTGATCTTTCTCCTGGAACTAGTTTAGGACTTAGAAGGTTTCAACTGGAACCAACCCAATTCCCTGTTGTATCTCTAAGGACGTGTGAGATCTGGACCAGATTCCTCTGGAAGGAGATGTCAAAGCCTCAAGTGATCCACAGGAAAAACAGCTCCAAGGAAATGTGATAAAGAACCCCAATACATATTTAAACAACTGCATTGGTGTTTATTTTTTGTTTCCAGATTGATGTAAAGCAAGATAGTTAAGAAAATGACGGGAAACCAGAAATATATCCATATAATCTGTATGAATTGTATCTGTATAGTAAAAGAAGAATTAAAGGTAATCAAGGGTGAGGGGGAAAATAAGCATCTGGAAAAAGACAAAAAAATGTTTTATATGTAACTGTGACCCTCAATACGGAGAAGGCAATGGCACCCCACTCCAGTACTCTTGCCTGGAAAATCCCATGGAAGGAGGAGCCTGGTAGGCTGCAGTCCATGGGGTCGCTAAGAGCCGGACACGACTGAGCGACTTCACTTTCACTTTTCACTTTCACACATTGGAGAAGGAAATGGCAACCCACTCCAGTGTTCTTGCCTGGAGAATCCCAGGGACGGGGGAGCCTGGTGGGCTGCCGTCTATGGGGAAGCACAGAGCTGGACACGACTGAAGTGACTTAGCAGCAGCAGCAGTGACCCTCAATAACTACTTACGTTATGAGCTAAATGTGGAAACAAATGAATTAATGAAAACAGAAAGGGATAATGGATTAAATGGTGATAATTTTACCTCAAAAAACAAATCATCTGAAAAAGACTACATTGAAAAAATTACTTCAAGTTTAAAACAAGACAAGGAGCGTTGTAGCCACTATGATTTACACAGTCACTTTCTTTTTTTAAATTTTTTTTATTTTTTTTTTCATTTATTTTTATTAGTTGGAGGCTAATTACTTCACAACATTGCAGTGGGTTTTGTCATACATTGACATGAATCAGCCATACACAGTCACTTTCAACAGCTTTACTTGAGGATCACCTTCTATCTTCTTGGCTTATCTGTATTGATCATTCTGGCACAGTAAATGTTTTGATTCTCTTTCATCTACCTAACTACCTTGGTTAACTTTTTGACAAGGACATTTTGAAGCCAAATAAACTTCAATATAACCACTGAGTTTCAGCTTTGGTTTTAAATAGTGAGCAGAAAGAAGGTAAAAGTGAAAGAGCAGCAGAGACATTTATATTTGAGAATGTCCAGCAATACCATGTTTCCTTTTTTTTAACAATACCCACAGCAGGATACAGAGCAGGAAATACATTATACTGTTTCTTTCTTCTATTTTCTCTTGCTGTATTAAAATAACAGAACAACAGAGATACACCTGGGGTTGTATCAGCCACATATGTTTACAGGAAGAGAAAAGGGATATTCAACAACTCTCACTGGAAATCAGGAGAACACTTTTGATATGACTAATTTATAGCTGTGCCATCTTTCTACCAGAGACTTTCCTCTCTGATCATTTTAAACCTTGCTAAGACTTTATTTAAAAGCAGAGACAGTACTTTGCCAACAAAAGTCCATCTAGTCAAGGCTATGGTTTTTCCAGTAGTCATGTATGGATGTGAGAGTTGGGCTGTGAAGAAAGCTGAGCACTGAAGAATTGATGCTTTTGAACTGTGGTGTTGGAGAAGACTCTTGAGAGTCCCTTGGATGGCAAGAAGATCTAACCAGTCCATCCTAAAGATCAGTCCTCGGTGTTCATTGGAAGGACTGATGTTGAAGCTGAAACTCCAATACTTTGTCCACCTCACGTGAAGAGTTGACTCATTGGAAAATACTCTGATGCTGGGAAGGATTGGGGGCATGAAGAGAAGGGGACGAAAGAGGATGAGATGGTTGGATGGCATCACCGACTCAATGGACATGGGTTTGGGTAGACTCTGGGAGTTGGTGATGGACAGGGAGGCCTGGCGTGCTGTGATTCATGGGGTCGCAGAGAATCGGACACAACTGAGAAACTGAATGAACTGAACTGAAGACTTTATTAGCCATAATAAAGGGGGATAAAATTCTTTTGGTAAAGCACTGAGATTTACTCATTTTAAAGGACTACTTTACATGTTAATCTCAACTAACATTAATTTATCTACTGGCGTCAGAGTCCACACTTTGCTTCTGGTTTCTCATAAGCATAGTGTATGTAAAGTAGGTTGCAGTTATGAGAGCTGTTTATAGTATATATGACAGGATACTTTAAAACAGCTGACAAATAGCTGTCACATTATCTTACCTTTAGCTAAAATAACCTAAAAATCCCAATTATAGTGTTTCCAGCATGCAATAAATGTTTATATCTATTATAAAAGAAATTCCTCTTACCTGCTCTGTAGCTGTAGGGCAGTAGAAGACTAATAAAACAGTTGTACAGATGTTTATTGACAACCCAATGATCGTGATGAGATTTGGAGCGATCCAGGAGGGAACTCTTCCAACGAGCCATTCCCAGTACCCCTGCATCAAAGGCTCAAGCAAGGACCGTCCGGCACTCTGATACCTGTGTTCTTCTAGCCGCTTAAGTTGATGTCTTGACAATGGTGGTGTAGGTAACTGGAACAACTTATTTAATACACACCCGGGAGTAGTCATATGCCCGAAGCCCAAAGGGGACTCCGGGTGAGAATCTCCACATCGCTTCCTTGTTGACCGATGCCCACTCATGGATCTTGGCTTTCTTTTATTTGAGGAGAATACTTTATCTTGTTTTATAGTTTTTGGTGGATGGTCTTTCCCTGGGGGTAGGAAAAAAAGATATATTTGTCAGCCACTATTTATATCAATGTCAGTAAATTTAAAAAAATCAAACTGGCAATAAAATACATGTTGAACAGGGATCAGAAAAACAGGGATCTGCTTTTAGTTCTAATTCTTACTGGTGTAAAGCCAAAACAAGTCATATAACCTTATCTTTATGTGAAAAATATTAAGAATTTTAATAATAATATGCTTCCTGTTACCTTAGAGCTTTCCTGACTTCAAAGTTCATGATTTTTTTTTCAATTTCACACTGCTATCGTAGTATAAGTTGGAAAAAAAACTAATAATGACCTGATCATTTCACATATGAGGAAACTGAGGTCCAAGACACACTCAAAGACAAAACCAGTAAACCAGTCTTAATAGTGGATAAATGACTTAAATAGAATAGGTCTTAAACTAGATTTTTATTTAATGTGAATAGCTAATACTTATTGAGCACTTACTATGTACTAAACACTTTAAGCAAGTTTTATATATTAATTCATTTACTCTTCACAACCACCAGAGATGCTAAATACTATTAATTACTCCAGTTTTTACAGAAAATTAATGCACAGAGAGGCTAATTAACTTGTCCAAGTTCACACAGCTGTAAAGTGAGGTTCATATAAACAGGGTTTCTGTTTAAATAAAAGATAGAAGTTTTTAGAGGAAATGGATATAGATAATATTCCATGAGGAAATAGACAAAAATTAACTTTAAGAGGACTGTATTTATGTGTTAGCAGAGTGAACTGATAAACTGAGACAGTAAAAAATACAATTATAAGTGCATTAAGTGGTGACTGTTTATGTTGTTGTTCACACAGTCATGTCTGACTCTTCGCGACCCCATGCAGGCCAGGCCTCCCTGTCCCTCATAAGGTTTTTTATAAACCTTAAATTTAAACCCATGAAGTACTTCTACCTGACTTAGAAAGGATCAGAAATAATATACTTACCGTAAGTTATTAACCGATGTAAGAAAACAATGACAAACTGATAACATATAAAAATTAGTATGGTGACACTAAAGGTTTGAAGTGGTGAGGGCCTACAGTAGGGTGGTAAAAATGGAAATATGATGACAGTCAAATCTGTAAGTAATTTCTACTTAGGAGGAGGAATCAAGAGGAAATACTTAGGAATTAGATATGAGGGACAGAAAAGCAGAAGAAAAAAGAAATCAGTCAGAGACTGCTGGTACTATGGTCAAAAAGGAGAGTTTAGAAGGAAAATCAGTTATTTTGGCTTTTGGGAAGTATGAGATTAACTGAGGTTTGGGATGCTGAGAGGGGATCTCACAGTGAAAGGAAAGACATACATGCAACTTTTATATAGAGATGTTTTAGACAAAAATCAAATGACTGGAGTTTAGGTGAGATATCAAAATTTCAATTTTTTAACCTGGAAGCTAACACCTAGTGGAAGACTGGAAAGCAGAAAATTTCTTAAAAGTATTAAGGATGAAGAGAAAAAGAAACTCACGGTTAGTGAGCAGAAAGAAAACCCATGAAACGATTAAAAAAGGGAAAAAAATCTTAACAGAACTAAAAGGGTAGTGGCATTTGACCGACAAAGGTGTACTTTAATCTGGCAAAAAGCTATCCAGAACACAGTACAAAATTCCCAGAAATGCTGCACTGTGGGAATACAGAATGTGATACAGGGTCTAGGACAACTCAGCAATGAACATAGTATCAAAATATGCTCACGACTTCTCTCTATTCCCATAAATAAATTCCAAAATTCCAATGTCACTAATGATCTAAAGTGGCATCCCAAACCTCAGTTAATCCTATATCTCAATAATCAGTTTAAAGAACAGTTACTGTAGTTATTAACTGACTTACATTTTCAGAAATCATGAAAGAATCACTGGTAGCCCAGTTTAACTAACTCAAGTGCTCTGAAATAAAAATAATAAAATAATCTCAAGCCAAGGCAAACCAAAGCTAATTTCCTACTATTTTAAAGAATTCTTTCACACACTCAATTGTATCATAAAGAAATTGATTTAAACTGTTTTAAAGTAATATTTACATAATGTCAAACATCTGGTTACAAAATCATTTTAGATGATGAAATGACAGACCGATGACCATCAAAATACCGTACTATCAAGCAGCCAAATTTTCAGAAGTCAAACTGAATGATGTATTTTCATATTTGGTGAGCTATAATCAATCAGCTCTTACAGATTTCCACTTAAATGGGAATAAAAAGTTTGGCCAACTCAATTTGTATTTTATTTTTGTCGTATCCCATTCTCCCATAGTTAAAAAAAAAAAAAGTGACATATTGAGGATGCTGGCCTGATTTTGGCACTAAACAGCTACAAGTTTCTGATCCTAATGGTTTTAAGTTTGAGCATTTGGCAGGACTATATGATAAACTGGATACTTTTCCTTTTAAGTCTTTTCCCATTCTGACCTAGATTTTTGTCCTTCTATTTCTCTTTAAGAAAAATCAACATTTTGATCAACCTTCCTAGACCTAGTTATTATATAATATATACATGTAAAAAGGACATTTCAATTTGGCAACACTATCTCTGGGAAGGTTACCTGCAAGAAGATTGCAAATAAAAATTCAGATACATGTTGCCCTTTGCTTTCCACACACAGGTAGCCACAGAGGTTGCTGACACTGCCACAGATCCACCTCTACTCTTCCTTCCTCCCATCAAACCTGAGACCAGGAGGCAACTGCCAGGAAAACCATCTCAGGAAAAAAAGAGGAGTTTCTGAACTTCAGCAAGTGAAAAGCAAGCATATCAAGGGAGCAAGACAGTGAAGGTTACTACAACAGAAGAGGAGACTCCATGGAGAGAAAGGGGACAGGATCTGAGATAAGAGTATGGAAAGAAGGTACAAACATTACAAAAATTATTTTAGCTCCCTGAGATTTTTATCTAGAGTCAAGCCTATGACCAAAAGGTTGAGGAGAAAATGTCATTTTCTACCCACACTACAAGGAATTAAAAAATTAATGCAAGGAATTAAAACTAGTGCTGGTTAGCTTAGAAACCCAGCCACCAGTGGTAAGTTTTTATGAGAAAATGGATTCCAAGTTTCAAATGCATTCAGCCAATATCTGAGTGCAGTAAACAAGACAGACATAATCCCAGTTCCCAAGTCCAATGGAAAAATAAGTAAAAGAAGGTAGATAAGCAAATGACATTACACACTTACACACTGTGATGGGCAATATGAAGAAAACAAGATGTGGAGCCAGAATATAGTTGAAAAGGAACACTGTAGATAAGGTGGTTGAAGACCATGAAAAAGAAGCATTTATACCTGGTGGCTCAGACAGTAAAGCGTCTGTCTGCAGTGCAGGAGGCCCAGGTTTGATCCCCGTGCTGGGAAGATCCCCTGGAGAAGGAAATGGCAGCCCACTCCCGTACTCTTGCCTGGAAAATCCCATGGACTGAGGAGCCTGGTAGGCTACAGCCCATGGGGTCGCAAAGAGTAGGACACCATTAAGCAACTTCACTTTCACTTCACGAAGTAACTTCAAAGGAAAATGAGAGAGCCATTCCAAGAGCAAGAGGAAGAAGAGTCCAAGAAAGAAAAACAGACCTGAGGCAAAATCCAGCTTATCTTTCTTATTCACATCTCTGGGATCACTATGACTGGACAGTAGTAAACCATATGAAAGAGTGAGATAAAGGAGACTATGAAAAGCCCAACAATGCAGAGGTTTATAGATTGTGGCAAGGAGTTAATATTTTATTGTGATCTTATAGAAAGCCATCAATTAACCTATAAAGAAATCTATAATTTTGCAGCACAGCCAATTTATTAACTAAGGAAGTGTTTTAACAAATTATAACAATTAAAGTATTTTAAATGTTTTAAAATCATCATTACCTGGAATTCAGATTACAATAATACGGATCACTGTCCTATGTCACCTCTCCCCTTGTAATCAACAAATTCCCCTCCTCTGCTATAAGTTGGCTTGAACGTGATACTTCTTCCAGAGCACTTACCACATTTTGAAGTTTTTTTAATTGTTGGGTTTTTTTTTTTTGGTCTTTTCCCCACACTGATATGTAAGACACAGGAGTGCAGAAGCCATGCATGTCTTAACATTCTTTTCCCAAAATCTTATACCATACCTAACACTAGGTGGGTGATCAGTACTTATTTGTGGGACAATGAACAAATGTGATTCATCTAGTTATTTAATAGCACCGGATTGTTCTAGATCTTTGAGGAAACAGAAAGACTGAAATATGCCATCCATGCCCTCAAGCTCAAAGTGGTGGTGGGGAGCCTTGTAAATAGCTAAGCTATGGCATACTGTGAACAAACTGCTGTGGTAGTTTAGGGGAGGGGGCACACATGGTCTAACAAAATTCTTCTTTGCACAGACATGTATTTATGTAAAAAGTCCAATGAAGGTACAAAAACAAAATCATAGACATTTAATGAGTATCTTTACTAAAATTATACACAATTTGTAGACCTTAAGTCTGTGATGCAAAACATCTGTGCTTGTAGCCGCTAAAGATAATAACATGCTGCCTACAATATTCCAGTGTTCAGCACTGGTGAAAATCTGACAAGGATCACACTCAAAAAGGAATCTCCAACCGCTCAGCAGAGCATAAGGTAAGCTTACACAATATCCAACCTATAGTGTGAAATTCCAGAATTCCCATCCCCCCTGTGTCTAAGGGTGCCAAGTTTTGAGCTGCACTGATTCAGCAGTATGTTTACAACCCTTTCACAGGAACTGGTGACTACACAGCTCTTTCCACTTCTATGGCACGACTAAAGGAAAATACTAATGTTGAACAATATTTGGGAGGCAGAGCAGCGAACTATAAAAAAATCAAGCTTAAAAAAACTAATAGGATCACAGTATTACATTCAGCATTATTTAACAAGTGATACACAGAACAAGTTACC